GGGAGGGAGAAGAGAATGAGGAATAGGTGGTGCCATTGAGGGAGCCAAGGTCAAAACACGGAATAGGTGGTGTTGTCGAGGGAGAGAGAGAGTCAGATTCGGGTCGTATGTTCTATCCTGCCTCGACCCGGAAGAGATGGTGAAGTTAAACTCCCCATCTCCATCCTCATTGTCATCAGACTTCTCGTCGTCGCTGCCGTTATCGTCTTCTTGTCAGACATCCTCATCGTAATCATCTTCTTGTCGAGCTTCCTCGTGGTGGTTTTGAGTAGTCGCTTCGCTTTCGTCAGGGACTGCAAACTCTAAGTCGAAGAAAGGCCCGTCGTTGTCGCTGTCACTGCCTTCGTCGTTGTTTTGGGTGACTGCGGTGAGGATTGTGGTGGTGGTGGTGCACATGTTAGCAGAACCAACCGTGTATATGCTATTAGGAACAGGGGTGGCAGCAAGTAGGCCACCGCCGTGCCAGTACTTGAGGAAGCTGAAAAGCTGAAAGTTTCCATGGTTGGGAGAGCCAATATAAGGCAGAAAAAATGGGTATACTGAGTAATTACAAACGTGTCGGTACGGGGCCCTAATTTTCTATACATTTGGACTCAGCCCACCCTATTTCTCTTATGTAAAAATCGGAACCAGCTCATACATGCCTCGAACCTTGATTACCCGCCCCAACCCGCTATTCCTATACCCGTTTGCCCACCCCTACTTTCATTGTCTCCAACAAAAGTAAAAATATGCTTTCTCTATTATAGTTTCTTCAAATTATTCTCTGACTTAGGCATCAAAGCCTCATTGGACACCATCCCATTTTTTCGGGTGTTATGAATTAGGCTAATGATGTTTCTTGTTCAATAGGTGGCATTTCACCAATGCAACTCGGGTTGAAATCTGTATCCACACTTACAATTGGTATGTTGATTTAGATCATGATAACTTCAATATACTTTCATTCATTTATAGATATACATACATACATACATATATATATATATATTATGTTTAACCGAGGAATTTTCAAATCTCAAAGGATTGAGGTCAAGTTAATGAGAAATGAACCACAAAATTTTATATAAAGGGGACTTGAAAACCCCTAGTGGAAAAAATTTTAAACAGTGTTTTGAACGGTGAATTTGTTTGGTTGGTAATGGTCAATAATTGTAGTGGAAGTTGATTTGTGTCAGTTTTTACTTTTGCAGAAGTTGGGGTGCCTATGGTGTATAATCTTGTTTCAGTTCATCTGGATGTCTATAGACTTGACTCCTTTAATGAGATACTATACATGTCCCATGAATTGAACATGTAAACTCCTTTAAAAAAAAAAAAATTCAAAACCTCAATCTTATACATTGAACGAGTACCTAAACGTTTGTAAACAGTTAATTGTTTGAGACATGAATTTTTACGGGTTATATTCTCTTTGTTGTTTGTGCGAATCTTCCTCCATATCGAAGAATTAGTTAGTGAAGTATATTACCCATGTAGACGCCTCTTGCAACTCTTTGTTTCTTAAATGGAATCCTCAACTAGTGCAATATGGATTAAAATTATGTTTTCAATTGTAAATAGGATTCCAACCCACTAATCTATCTATTATGAATGCTGGCCATTAATCTATTAGCGCCTTAAAATATTTAGTGGCTTAGAACGAACCTAATCCACTAAACATTGCCATGCTTCAACTTAGAAATCCACCAATTCAATTTTCTTTAAATACACGCAAATGCGCGTTGAAAACTCTACGATATATAAATTTCAGAAATAGAAATAAATAAACAAAATTATCAGAACACCTTCAAGTGTTTGACATAATTCTCTGCGAATCTTACAAGCTACATTATCAGATCTGCCATTATCCCATCTCGTCCATTATCTATTTAATAATTAGTTTTGAGTCCTTGAACGGCAATTTAACTCATTTGTTGTATCTCTACTATCTATCTACGTATGCACAGTATTCCATTTATTAGAAAATGTTAAAAGACATTTCGTCATTTTTAAATTGCTTGTTTTATATTATTTTTTGGGGTATCGGGTTTATAACTTGGAAAAGAATTTTATTACGAGACATTATTTCATATAGAGACTTCCTTTGTATTCCTCGTACATATAATCCATTCAGTACAGTTTAAGAACTAGGCATTTTAGAGGCATTAACAAATTCCAATCCATTCCAACATTTAGCCTTGTCTCGAAATCCTGTGTTCAATTTCCCTTCTCTATTATCACTTGTATGAAAATTAAAATAAAGATGACCCAACCCAACCCTTATTAAAAAAAACCTAAACCAAAATCCAACCCTAACATAATTGGAATATTTTAGGCATCAACAAACACTGTAGGATAGTTGTATTTCTATTGACTATAAGTCAGAAATCTCATATTTGACTCACAAAATGTTGCATAGTAGAATATCACAAGAGAGAATAAGAAAGTTAAAAAATAAATAAATAAAAAAAAAAGTAATCTCGATCATACTTATATCCCTACAATTTTTACTCTAAGCTTTGCAGAGAACTATTCCTACAATGGTATGAACTTTCTCCCTCCTTTAGCTAAAAGGCAAAAGGATAAACTAGATAAACCTAGTTCTTCTTCAACAGATCCACCTGCCACGACAGCAGCACAACCGGTTTAAGACTCCAAGATTGATTTGGAAACCTAATTGCTTTTGCTTTTTTCTCCGTGTAACTGAATTTAGTTTTCTGTTTAGTATTTGGCTTTGTATTGAAATCCTTAATTTGTACATTTTTTTAAGGAAATTTCGACATTACAAGAGAAATGTTATTAAATTAGAAAGAAGAAAAGTTACATCTAGTCAGGGAAATATAGATCTTACCCCCTCGTAATAAATAAAATAAAATAAAGTGAACAAATACAAAAGAAGAAGAAGGGGGACATAAACCTTACCCCTCTTCAAAAAAAAAAAAAAAAAAAAAAACAAGTAAAGAGGGCAGATGTCAAGCCTTAACCCCTCTAAGACCATCTCTAACCCTTAAGTTAAAATCTAAAAATTTTAACCCATAAATAATTTTTTTTATGAATTATGGTTTAAATAATTTTTTAATTGTTTTAGCTATTAAATTTAATTTTGGGCCATTAGATCTTTTTTTATTGTTAGATTTGTTCATATTTGATCTCAACCGTGGGATTTAATGTATTTAAAAATTTAAATTTGCCCAAATTTTAGGTTTTAACCCACAACTTATTTTAGACTCAGCCATTGGAGAAGGATTGGGTTAGTTTAAGGGCCAATTTGGAATTTATGTGCTTTTTTAATAAATTGCTTTTGCTGTGCTTCAAGAATAATCAACTCCAAAATAAAGTAGTTGAACGTTTGATAAACTGTATTTTTAAAAGTGTTGTGAGTATGAAAAGCAGTGTCTATAAGGGGTAAATAATGTCATTGTTTAAAAACTGTTTTTAAAAGCAACCTACATGCTGCTTTTAAAAGATGCTAGTCAGAGGCCATTGTTTTTAAAATAATCAATATATTTTATTTTTTTACCAAACACTCTTCTTTCTGCTTAACTTTAAAGTGAAGTAGTTTTTGGTGAAAAAAAAACAATACCAAACTAGGCCTTAAACCTAAATTTTGGTGGGCTAACCCAAGAGTTTGAGATGGTCTGAAAAAACAAAATCTTTAAATAAATTTTCAACCAAAGACCATGCCAACCACATTGATAAGCCAATTCTACGCTAATAATAACAATAAATAGTTCTGCAAAAATTGAATTGTGATGGTCAATACCTTGACAATAACCACTAAGAAATCGACCATGAAAAAATCTTTGAAAGCTCCTCTACAAGCAACAGGACTAGGATTTTCTTCACCCAAACCATTAGTGTCAAGCTTAATCCAAGAAAACCAAGGAGGAGACCAAAGGCACAACACATATAATTGCAGCTTTTCGAAAGATAAGTTGAATACCCAAAGAAGAGAGAATACGAAAACCCAAACCATGTGAGTATCCAAGGATAACCTTGCCAGCACGAATAATCCAAGAAGCAGTAGTCATACAAAGGTGATGAAAAGAGATTGGCCGATCTTCAAAGATAGACTATTGCATGCATTCCAAATAGTATAAACAGTAAATAGACTGACAAAAATCCAAAGATTATGCAATTGACAAGAAAACAGCTTACGCACAAAAGCGTTCCAAAGTAGTGGCAAGGAATCAAGAGGGCAAACAAGTACCAAATTGACCGGTGAACCACATCTAAAGTTGCTTAGATACCGAACGTCGGAAGAAAAGATGAGCACAGATTCCTTAGAAGCATGACATGAACGACGAATGGATGCCAAAAAAAAAAAAAAAAACCTGGCCACGTTGTTGAAGTGCGACCTCTCAGTGAGAATTTTATCATGAAAAAATGGTCAAGTCAAATAGATAATTGTGAGGCTATGAAATGCCACCAAATAACATTTGCCCAATCACAAACATTACGTTTATTGCGAAGAAGATCGTAACCATCACTAGAAGCAAAGATAAAAAAACACTTCAATATATAGAGTTGAGCCTTTATACATCATTATTTATAGAGATGAGATTACACACCTCTATATTTAATACTTTTCTTGAACTTTGCTTCTTTGTAATTCAACACTTCCGTGTTGCGAAACCTCTTTTACTCTTCACCATTAAGGTAAAACACGAATCACGTAAATTTCTTGTGTTATGTGATTGCATGATTTTATATATATATATATATATTTCATCACAGTCCATATATAATTCTGGCATCATAGAAAACCAATAAGTTGGTATTATTCATGGACCACAAAATTTAATTATTTTCTATTGTTAAATTTCAGATTATATTATTTGGTTTTAGTGGAACCTTCACGCGTGAGACATAATGTGAAAACGTCAAAGATAGTGGCTCGGTGGAGAGAGGCTTAATTCTAGGATTTCCATTTTGATCCAATCCTACTACCTAGCACATCCCACAATTCCAATATAAAGGCCAACACATAGCTCACATAGATCACACAAGCAAGAAGCAAAGGAAGAGCTAGAACTGCTAAGCATGATGGCCTTCTATAAGCACCACGCTTTCTCAAGCTTCTCGATGTTTTTGTTGTTTCCATTGCTCTTGCAATTTCAGTTTGGTACATATTTTCACCATACGTTTTACATTTATTTGTGGATTCTACCTATACATGCATGTGAAAAATATAATTATCCTCTATGTACGTCATTTTAATCTATCAATACGTACCTGATTAAATAGAGTTTGTCAATCACTATTGATTAAATAGAGCGTGTTGAACATCGAGATGGTTTTTTTCCTTGTGTAGGAGTTTATATATAATGAGAAACTGTAAAGTTCGTTAAGTTGACCATGTTGTGTATTTTGACATTGACATAGGTAAAAGTGAGCTCCAACTTAACTATTACTCCAATAGTTGCCCAAAAGCTGAAGAAATCATCAAGCAAGAGGTCACCAAGCTATACTATGAACATGGGAACACAGCCGTTTCGTGGTTAAGAAATCTCTTTCACGATTGCATCGTTCAGGTATGATGAGTTGTCTTCCTTTGACTTTTGAGTACTAATTAATTTAGCAACAGAGATCACATTCAAAATTTTCATTAGTTAATTAACATTAATTTGTGGCATGCAGGGATGTGATGCATCTCTATTGCTAGAGAGTGTGAATGGCACAGAGTCAGAGAAGGCATCGGGGAGGAGCTTCGGGATGAGAAATTTCAAGTACGTAAACACAATAAAAAAGGCCCTTGAGGACGAATGCCCTTCCACAGTTTCTTGTGCTGATGTTGTTGCTCTTTCTGCAAGAGATGGCATTGTCATGGTATGTATCATAGTGAGTTTCGTTCTCTTCGTCACCACGTGACTAAAGATTCAAAGTCACCGCCTTTGGATTTGATATCAAGATTGGAGATTGAATGGATGTACTTTTGAAGTTTTTACCTCAAACTTTGATATATCAAATACAAAAATAAGTAACCATGGATTTGTTGATCATGACTCAGAAAACTTTAATATTACATGCCATTTATTTGCTTCAATTATCTCCTCTATCGAAATCTCTTTATGATCTTTGCAATAAAAAAAGTATGTTAGAAAATTAAATTATCATTTCAGATGACTTTCTTCATGTTCGATATTAATTAGTTTTTCTTTGCGGGGTTAGGCTTTTTGTCTCGTTTAGATTCGTTACTTAAGAAAGTTTAATTGCAGTTAGGAGGGCCACGCATTGAGATGAAGACGGGAAGGAAGGACAGCAAGGAGAGTTATGCAAGTGTGGTGGAAGAGTTTATTCCTAATCACAATGATTCCATATCTTCAGTGCTTTCTCGCTTTCAGTCCATCGGCATCGATGCCGAAGGAACAGTGGCCATTTTAGGTAAATTTCCATTATCTTTGACATCAACTCTTGAATATGTCATGTATTTGAATAAATGTTTGCTAACAGTTTAATAATTCAACCAAAAAACAAAAAATGTCGAAACAAAATCTCGTTCTAATAATTTCACAATAAACAAATAAACAAATCTCTTATCCTGAAGAACAAGAAGTCTAGAGAGGCGGTGTTACTCTGTATCCTCATGCTTTGTAATGAAAATAGCTTAAGGGTCAGCTAATTTCGATCTTATTATACAAGACAAAAACTAGGGAGCTCCATATCTATACCAAACGAATAAATCAGTCATCAGGTCCATATCATATATTGTACAAAATTAAACTTAATAGTTAATTACTATCTATTGGATTAGATTACAAAATTGCACCAACTATTTCAAAGTTTTTAGGACCAAGTGATGTGATAGCATGTCCATCATTTATAAATGAAATCCGTAAATCTATAAACAACGAAATACTATCACATCGGTTGAGATTTGAAAAAGTTACGACATGAGTTGGGTCCTTAAAGATTATTCTTGATCAAATGGTAAATCCTCAACCGAACAAGCCAAACACAAACAATCGTATACTAGTTGAATATCAGACCAAAAATAAAAATACTTCTTGAATATAATAACCAAAGCAAGTCCATAACAAAATAAGTATAATAATACGGCAAATAAGTGCAACACTCAATTTTCATGGAAAAAAAAAAAAAAAAAACCCCTTATTTAAGGATGGCAATTTGATTTTCTATGCAGGAGCTCACTCTGTGGGTCGAGTCCACTGTGTGAACCTGGTAGGGAGGCTCTACCCAACCGTGGATCCAACCCTAGACCCTGACCATGCCGAATACCTCAAAGGTCGGTGCCCAAATCCAACCCCAGACCCAAAAGCAGTTCTCTACGCAAGGAACGACCGTGAAACACCCATGCTTCTCGACAACTATTATTACAAGAACCTGCTAAGCCACAAGGGTCTGCTCACCGTCGACCAAGAACTAGCTTCTGACCCAGGTACATTGCCCTTTGTGGAAAAGATGGCCGCCGATAACGACTACTTCAGCGAGCAGTTTTCTAGGGCTGCCCTTCTTTTGTCTGAGAACAACCCGCTTACTGGAGACCAAGGAGAAGTTAGAAAGGATTGCCGATATGTGAATGCAAGTTAGTTGAGACTATTGGTTGCATGTCTCTCAATATATGTAAAATAAATTATCAACTTTTGATTTTCTCTCTTTGGTATATGGTAATGGAATAACCAACTGTGTTTCTTCTTTTGGAAAGGATAATGCTAGGAAAACCATATTTTTAAACTAAATAATATGTCACCAATAAGAAATAAGCACGTCAATTAATAATTAAGTAATAACTCATTCATCAATAACCATATCATTTAATTTGCAAATTTGGTTTAAAAATTTGATCAACCTAGCATTACCTTTTTTAAAATTCAAATTCGTTTAGCTCAATGTGAAACTCCGTCACTTCAATATATATGCATACATGACCTAAAACCTCTAAATTGAATACGCATCATTCGTCCTAAAAAAATAACAAGCAACAGTTGAATATATAACAATAAGCAGCAGACCTAGAACCCTTTGCCCTCTCTTCGGGTGAGGTGTGTGCCCTTTTGTCTTTTCTTGAATGAAAACCCATTTCAACCCAAAGAAAAATTGAAGAATTATATAGGTTACTGACATCGAAATTGAAAAGAAACCTAGATGAAACTTTTGTTTCGTACTTGATTCGAGGTCTTGTACTTCTGTGCATGATGTAGGCAACAAAGTTTGTGAAGATGAATACGAGTTTGATGTGGAGTGTATGTGAAGAGCATGGGGTGTAAGGGTAGTATGAGAATTATGTGAGATGTATTAAGATAATTTTTAATTTAAAAGGAGATGTTAAGTGTTTTCGGTAACTGAGTGTAACTAAAAATATGTGGGATGTCAATAAAACAACCCAAAACAAAATTAACTTAACAATTACTCCAACATAGGGGCTAGAAGTGTAAGATTCCGTAACTTTTTTTAAAAGACATGCACCAAAACGTTATCTACTCGAAAGTAGAGGGGTACAAAGCGTGGTTAACATTTCATTATCATTACAAAAGGGTGATTTTAAAGAAATTATTTTTTAGATCATATTTGTAGACCACTTGACGTGACGGCTGATAGTTTGATTTATTCTTTAAATCATTAAAAATGGAATAAAGCCATTAACCGCCACATAATTTAGTATATACAAAATATGATTTAAAAAAAAATGATCTCTCTAACATTTTTCTTTATGAAAAATGCTGCCAAATTTTTATATAATCTTCTATAGTGTTATTGATTACTTTACTAAAAATTGTCATGGCCACATAAAGTTCCTTTGTTAAAGAAAACAAAGAAAGAGAAAACTAGTCAAACCATCAAGTCATATACGATGGCTATGTTTCCGACTATTTGTATTTAATTAGTAATACAACTAATTGACAACAAATTAGAAATACAACTTTGATGTTTAATTTTGTCATGTCCGTAGTTTAACATATTATATTGATCACAACCTACCAATCAGATCATTTGAAGAAAGAAAAAAAAATTTATCCTTCAATAGTACATATATATTTTGATTTCCCATATAAAATAACATATAGATTATCCATCTTTGAAAAGTGGTTTAAGTAGAGAAGTGTTATTGGTACTCTAACAATCTCATTCTACACTCCTCACAAGTTATTTTTCTTTCCTAATATAGAAAGTTTGGAGTGTAAAATGAGATTTTTGGAGTGCTAATAACAATTCCCCTTAAGTAAATATAAATATTTATTAGTCGACATTTTTGGTTCTATCTTTCTTTTTTTAATATTTTTATCAGTATTTTTTTTATCCATACATGATTGTACATGATTATTCTTATTATATGGTATATATGGTATGATTTTTGTCTAGGTTTATGACACTTATAATTCATTACATTGTAACAACACCAGACTTGCAGTATAATTAGTAATGTTAGGCCACGCTCAATATGATATTGGAGGAACAATAACAAAAAGTTTCATGTATTCATCATCTTCATGAACAAGCAAGAATGATTATGTGTTTGACTTAATTATTAGCAATGAAGGAAAACGATGTCGCGTAAAATATCACTAATTAAGAGATTGATCAGAATTAGAAATTTCTTGAGCTATGCATGCGCATGCACACGAGCATGTATGTGAACTCGGGAACTAGCACAACAGCTGAAGTAGTAAAACAAGGGGCAGAAAATTACGAGAACAATACGTCTTCCATCAATAATATACAAAGATATGTACGCCCATGTTCTTACATTATTAATACGAGATGTTGTTGTAACAATAATATCCTTATTACACAAATCATTCTCAAAGCTAAGGTTAAAAAGTGAAAGGCACTCAAATTCTCTTAAAGTCAAGCTGCCACAGCATCAATGTCTTCCCCCACTACTTATTCTCGCGTAGAAGGCTTAGACAATCGACCTAGCTTTTCTTTCCAATCGAACAACCCAGATCAGTCTATAGACTCCATATAGAGCTTAAAATGATTAGACGTCTCATGCATCTCCAAAGACTGCACCTAACTATGGGTCCCATGTCTCCTTATACACACGACGCATATTAATTTCAAACCCTTTCGTTGGTAGATGATAGTAACGGTTGACTCTAAAAATTAAACAACCTATGTAGCATGCAAGTTGAGTAACTAAAAAGCTAACTACGTTATTTTGTGGTTGATTGTTGATGTGTGCATGTCATCTTGCTACCGAGTTTAGTCAGACGAGTGTCTTAAATGTGGTGGATGTGATGAAATGCATTTCTGACTCTTGACTTGAGCGATTTTGGTCAATGAAGGAATGTCCTCGACCTTGGATTCTAAAACATGAAGATAAGGTATACCTTTTGTTGTGCATTTCAATAATGGTTTGACTGTTTGCGTGCCGAACCCCATTGGCGTGTTTACAAACCCTAATTGGAATCAAAATGCAGAGTTGGATTCCGATTATTGGATATACTTTTGTTTTTTAAACTTGGGGGAATAAAAAGAGAGGTGGGACCCACCCTAATTGGACTCCTTGATTCAAGGTGGTAATCCAATTCCGGGAGTATGGAGGAATCAGAATCAATTTTTCTTACCCATTATGCCCTTAGATATTTACTATAATTTCACCTTTTGCTGGTTTGATTTTCTTGAATTTCACATTTCTTTAGATCATCTCCAACTTTTCGGTCAAAACTTAAAATTTTTAACCTAGAAACTGTTTTTTTCCTCCAACCATTTTAGGTTAAATTTTTAGCCTGAGATTATTAAAGAATGAATTTAGAACAATTTTTTTTTCTTAAACTTTATAAAATAAAAAAAAAATGTAGACTACCATAAATTAATTTTATAAACATTTTAACCTAAAAATATTTAGATTCCGATAAATATTGAAAAATCACTAAACCGACACCATGAAACTTGTGGAACACTATGAAAGAATATGAAACACATAAAAGATTTTTTTTTTAATTACCTTAATCGTTGGATTTAAATTTGGATAGTTGAATCTTTTTTTTACTGTTAGATTTGATCTTATTAGATCTTAACCGTTGAATTCAATGAATTTATAAATATAAAATTAAAAAAAATACACATATATGGTGGGTTAGCCCCACTAACCTAAGGAGAATCCTGGTCTAAATTTGCCCCATAAATGAGTTTTGGGTTAAACTCATATTTGCCCCAAGGGTTGGAGCAAGTTGGGGTATGTTTAGAACCTAAAATTTGAGTTTTACTCCAAAGGTTGGAGTAGGTTTTAATAAACATATGAAGTGCCATTTAATTTTACTATCTAGTGGTATTCCTCTTCGTATTCCTCTTCACTCATAAATGAAAGGTCTTAGGTTCGATTTTCACATGGGCGAATATGAGTAATCATATTCATTTTTATTCTAATTTAGGTGAATTAGTAAACAACTTATATGAACTTAATTTTCAATCTTATTCTGATATCAGATTATTTAAGTGAACAGTTTAAACAAGAATCTAATTTTAACTTCTCCTCATTCCAACTCCTCAATTCAATTTCTCCTCAATCCAATTCCTTTTATTGTGATTAGGAATACATAAACAAGCCATTAGTTTATTGTTTTTAGTTTCTATACCTCTTGTTTTGTACATTGCTTCTACATCTATCTCACAATCACTCCTTCACTGTTCTTCATATCCTTCTTGACACCATATACTTAATTTCACCACATCCCAACAACAAAAGATAAAAATGTTGGATATTTATCAACAACCAATGACAAATATATATATATATATAATAAATTCGAATATGTTAATAAACAAATAAATAACAACACTGTATATTGAATGAACAAGACTGAAGTCTGGGAACGTTGTTGAACGTTTGAAAAAGTCTAAGGAAAAGATGAAGCCACATACCCTTTATGTTGAACAGTCACCTCCCAAAATCATATATGTTACGAACAGGTATATGACTACTATAGAAACACGCATCTACATATCATTCAACAATTGAAAATCATTATTTCTTCCATACAAGCATACTGAGAGAACCACAAAGAAATTCGCCTGAAACTAAGGACTTGTTTGGTATCCTATTTAAATTTTTTTTATAATTTCTCAAAACATTTCTTAAGAATTTTTCTTGAAAACAATTTTCTTTAAGACTCAAAAACTTGTTTGGTATGCGATTTAAAAATTCTAAATCTTACAACTTAAACTGGACAAAGAGATCCAAAAAGAAGGGGTCCGAGAAAGAAAGAGGATAGAGGAGGAAAGAAAGTAAGAGATGATTGGAGGAAAGAGAAAGAAGTGAGACGATCGGAGGAGATAGAGAGGAAGATGAGTGAGAAAAAAAGAAACCGAGATAATGAAGAGAACGGATTAGAGAAGAGACGAAAAAGGTAAAAAAACAAAAAAAAAAAAAAAAAAAGGAAAGAGAAGGGCAAGAGAGAAAGAATAAAAGAGACATAGATTTGGAGTGAGATGGGAGGAGGGAGAGAAAAAATAAGGAGTGAGTTTAAGTTTAAAAACTCTAAAAACTCACTTTTTGTGTTTTTAGATAATAGACTATATTTTTGAGTTAGTCTTGAGTTTAATTTTTGAAAATAATCCTACCAAACAAGTTTTTAAGGCCTAAAACTTGAAAATTGTTTTTGAGTTTAAAAAGTTGGATTCAAGTAGAGTACCAAACATGCTATAAGTATTCTGGTGTGGGAATCCTAGTT